GTATATGAAGGGCTGTTCCTTGAGTCTTCGCCGATTTTGAAAGCAACATTGCTTGCAGCAATTGGTTTTAGACAAGTCAATGACCTAGCCTACTCCTACATATTTTTTTATCAACATTTCTTCAATCTTATTCGTTGAGGGTGGTGCAGAAATGGAGAACGAACAAGTGTGTTTTACACGATAATGTTTTTCACTACCGCAAGGGAAAGCATGAAATAAGCAGTGAAAAAGAACCCGCATGAGCGTCAAAACCCCAGAATCTCAAAAATCAAGGAACTTTCTTATGAAGATATATTTTTGGTTCCCTGATCACGAAAATGACACTAATTTTGAAGCTGACTACGTTCGGTGTCCCAGCGGTTTTCACCGAATTGTAAACTTGCGCATAAGGTTACTCGGGGTTACAACACGAAACAGAGCCCGACACGCGGCATTGCTTTCCCCAGTCAGCGACAGTCAGACCACAGGAAACTTTATGATAGCCAGTTTGTCATGCATGTTTTCTTAGGACAAACGGTGGTGCAGTATACAGCTTGTTGGCGCTGGATGCATGGATCCTGTGCGCTTTTTGGGGGTATCAGAAGATGAAGTGAATGAGGATTCCTTAGGATGGTTCGAAGAAGGTAGCTACCACTCTCATGCGTTTCTCATGGTCATTAGATTAGGTACTACCACTAAAGCTGGAGAGCTTACGGTCAAGTTGCAGCTTTGCCCAACGTAAACAAGCACATACAAATCAATCAACTATGTTCGCCCCTTTCAAGGGCGCCCAATTTTTTTTTTTTTTTTCTGCAACGTGGAGCAAATACCAGAAGAGTGAGTCGCTACAAAGCAAATTAGAACATGAGCAAGCGGGGCACGAAATACGGAATGAGCTCGCTAGATGAGGTTTAATTGGGGCCAATTTCATTTTTGTGGGTTTTTTTAGAAGATGCAATACGGTGGTCGGCGCGAGACAACTTTTGGGACCGATTAAGTGAGAACAGTGGCGCTAAATTGCTGTCAAGCTACTCCAGCGCTGAAAATGAACATCATCGTGATCAGATCAGTGATCAGAGTACCGAATAACGGTCATAGAATTTTTTTTTTGTTAATTTTTTGTTGCGATTCTGGGGTTTCAAAGCCCAGAATCTCAGGAACAAAATTGAGTTTATAGATAGTCAGTACTTTATCAAAACAGCCATTTCTTAATGGAACTAAGTTATCCAGAGTTTTCGTTTTTCGATTTGATAGTAGGGTGAGGGCTGTGGTCGCGTTTGCATTCGCGAAGTTTCGCACCAAACTGAGAATATCCAGTCCCTACAGAAAATTTCGCATACCCTTCACAATATGACAACACATATTTACAATTTTCAGGAGAAAATGGCAATTCAGATGTATGGCAATATTGCTTGGTATTTAATGGAGGAGCCCGATGTGGCCTAGATTTGTTCCATGAAACAGAATGGTATGTATCTAGGGTCTTTCAAAAAATCAAGCCTGTCACAAAGGCCATGTCAGTGAAAGGGCAAGCATTAATCGTTTGATAGCGGTCTCCTCTTGTATTCCTAGAATATTTCACTGTTTGTGATGCTAATACACATACGCTCAACAACACCAGGTTTGATTGAAAATTATTTTAATTTTTCTTCATAATACAGAGAAGTCAAAGCATACGGCCATTTATCAATTTAATATGTACACTGAATTATTAGATGCTTGGACAGAATTGTTTTGACTGTTGTTCAAGCACTTGTGGAGCAGTAAACATAAATTCGTTAGTGTCAATTAATGAACGTAGGTTATCGAACACAAGTACATGTTTCAAAAGAGTTCAACTTCGCTATATGCCTAGTAGTTGTGATAGCTCTCAGCCTTCATAAGCGCGTAGAATGTTACTGTGACACATCTGGCTAATCACCTAATAATTAGGATGTCACCTCACTAAGGACAAATGAGCTACTTACCATAAGAGGCACCCAAATATCCATCGAGTTGGAATCAGACCTAGATCTATTCATAGAATTTCCAACCTGGTCACAGGGTGAATATCGGTCGAGGAAATCCTCGACAGGGGGGTCGTACCTGTTGGGCTGGTCCATGGGGGGTCGTACTCTTGGGGTCAGTAACAGAAGTGGTATCATGGTGCAGATAGGTAATAGGGTATAGCGCAGCAGAAAATGAAAACATCCGAAAAAAACATGATATTAAATTTTCTTTGCAGGTTCAGTCGCTCCATTCCTCCACCTTCATGAGAAGGGCGTATTTGAAGGCAGTACAAAGAATGAAAGTGCATCCCGCAAAGAAGAGTGCCACATGTGCGCACGCGCTGCAAAGGCACCTCCTCCGCCTATCACTCGCTCCTTCTCCCTTAATACCTCGCTGAGAATGACGCTGTTGTTAGGGACCCTGTCGGAAAAACGACAACCGTGAAGAAAAAGCGCTGGGCAAATGAAGTTGTTTTTTAGGTTACAGGAATAGCACAACACACTATGTCTACTACAATACAGTTTCGTTCGAAGGTCCCCATCATATAACACCTTTCAATCGATTCTGCAACTGTGAGTGGAGGAGGGATGCATGGCTTATACCAATACCAAATCGGATGATGATGACGATTGCTCCTATTCTTATTGTTTGCGTTCAAAGATATTGTTCTAGACACATTCCGAGTGTTGCCAACGAGTCACACTTGCAATGGTGAATGAGGGAGCGGATTTCCAGGTGGCCGGATCCGACCTCGATAGATCCTCGACGCAATTATCTCTTCAACCAAAAAGCTGTAGAAGAAAACTAAACAGACCATCAGGAAGCGCAAACCTTCCGCTTTCCAAAACTATCTTCCCTTTTTCAGGATCTTACAATATAAGAGATATATTGCTCTTGAAGTGGCAAAAACTCGCGTGAAAATTTCGGCCTCCTCGACATTTACTCGACGAAATTTGACAGACCCTATCTTTCTGCAAGGAAGGCTTCCAGAGCAATTTCGATGCTTGTTGGAAACGCGAAATCCAGCTCTATCTAACTCTACCTCAAGCTGCTTCAAAGGTTGTGAAATGGAGGAATGCAACCTTTTCATCGAGGGTGTAGATTCGGACGTTTTTTTTTGAAATTTCGGCAAATCTGACCCAGTGACAATCGCGCCGCAGCTGCCGTTGAATCGGCCTTTGATACACTCGGCTGTTTTGATATACTCAAGCAAGAATCAAGATTGAATCGCAACCCCGTGTCTTCAGGATTTCTGTGCGTTTCTGAACGAACCTCGCCTTGAGGTCACACAAAGTTAATGCCTCTTTCCTCGAGTCGATATTTTCAGTATGTACACAAAAGTATGCAGCGATGGGAAGACGTGCATAGATGACAAGATGAAGCGTCCTTAGCATTATTTTGCAGAATTTTTTTTGATTGTTTTGATTTTTTTTTGATTTTTGTTTTGCAGGATTTATTTTAATTGAATTAATTTGCTCTGTTAGAGGGGGTCGTGCCAGGATCTCGATTTCGGGGGGGGGGGTCGTACCTCTGCGACCACGTACTCGACACGATTTTCACCCTGGTTTCAACTTTGGAACTAAAACTGCAAAATATCTACCAAGGAAGTTGTGAGCAGTCAAAGTTTGCTAGAAGAAGTTTGGCTTCTCTTGTGATCTTTACAAATTAGACGTAACATATGGACCGTGCTAGCCTCCGGGAGAACTCATACCCACCGGCTGAGGGCGAGCACTAGTACTACTCCGACGTTGAAAGCCGGTTCATGTGTAACGTTTGATTTGCAGCCAACTTGACTGTTCATCACTTTCTTGGCGTTTTCTCTATGCAGATCTAGCATCCATATCTGCAATTAGCGTTTGCAGCTCTGTCGATATATCTGGGTCTTAATGCAAAGTTTCCATGGGAGGTTGAGTGTCTTCCCTGGTTGAAGTGGTGATCCTTCAACTCCGTTTTCACCACTCTTTACTGGAGCCAAACATCCAACTTTGTCAGTGAAGAGGATTTGCGTGAGTTTATGCCGCTAGAAGAAGTTTGCTGCTATAGTGATCTTCCTAAGAGCGAGTTATCCATACCTTCGTTATTCCCGACCACAGGATAATCTTCCAGGATCATGTCATGACGAGAGAAGCCAGCGTTGGACGTTTCATTCCGCGTTCGTCGGAGTTGTAAAAACTTGTGTGATTTGTTTACCCGTAATTTTCGAGATAATTTCCTGACATGTTAGGCCTTCAGGAAATGAAGCGCTTTCCGGGACAGGTTTTGCTTGTTGTAGGGGCACATGCATGAAACAAAAACAAGATTCCTTTTTCCTGTTAAGTTCACATAGACAGAGAATGGGAGCGCGAACTTTCTAGAAATAATTTGTGTATGCCCTCCACGAGCACGAAAACGTTAAAATAGGGCAACACTGTTAACATAAAAGCCTTAAGACATTGTTCACGTATGGCTATCTATCTCACTTTGGATGTCGTCAGGTTGACTGGTTGTTTGAAATGTTTTCGCGAAGTTTCTCCTAGGGACAATTTGACTGTGTGAGTGGCGCGTGCGCAGCTGGTGACGGGTTTAATGCATGACGCGAATGTGACATTTCACTCAAAAATTATTGTAATAATTGTTTTCAAGCGAATTATTATCCTAAACTACAAATTTCTAGCGAAATTGGTAGCCTAAACTACCCTGGCGCCGGTTATCCTGCGCTTCCAGGTTTCCGAAGCACTGCTTGCAAAGTTTCATATGGTTGACATGCGTTATCTTCAAACCATTGATGACGCTCTTACGGAAAGGCTCATCCTTATGGACAATCCAATCGCTAACTCTGACAAAATCTCTACACTCAATGCAAAGGTACGTAATACAAGAGAGCTACTTGTACTGAACATATAAATCGTTGTAATCTTTTCAAGATTCAACTTCAGCCTTTTAGATTCGAAAAGGAACAACTGTTTTTGTTATTCCCTCGCCATTCCAATGCTTCTTACTTGCATATAGAGGCTTCGCAGTACTTCTGCATGATCGGTCGCTTATACGCTTAAATGCGCGCGTGCACAACAATGATGATCCAGGAGAATAACGAGCGTCTGAAAAGCTTAAACATTGATCCAATGGTGCGTCCCTTCCCTTGATGTGTCAATCTTTTACATATGTTTTGCGCGCTTTCCCCTCTTAAATCCACTCTCTCTTTCCTTTCTAGAATGTTCACCGACCCACCCGTGCTCTTGGTGATTATTTCCGGCGGAACTTGTACGAGGAGAAGGCGGAATTCATCGGAGCGACGAGTGATCCAGTTATAGCTGAACCTGATCTCTACCATTTCGAGGTTGCGAATTCGTTGCACTTATTTTATCGTATAACTTCGTATAATGTATAGAGGCATCCAAGGGTCAAAAAAATTGAAATTCAAATAACATAACTTTAATGGTTTGAAAAGCGTGGCAAGCGGGCGTCTGTCCCCACCAACCCATAGCCGCCCGCTGTGTTCCACAGTTTTGTGTTTATGGCCGCTCCAAGCTTTGCTATTTCAGATCAACGAAACATGGAAATATCTCATTTTGATGTCTGACGGTGTTCTGCAAAATTTGAATGATTGTGGAGTCGAGGATGTTGCCGCGTACGTTGGGGGGATCTATATCCCAATTAATTTTCTTTTTTCTCGATGGTTTACACTTTATATTTAGTGAAATCCAGGAGAGACTACAGGTTGATATAAGCGTGCGTAGCACAGCTCAAGGCTTGGTGGCAAAATTGGAAGAAGCAACGAAATATAATGCTCTATTCAGCGGTAACCCATAAATGTCGCAGCCTTATTTAACATGATTTTTTATTTTACTGTAGCTCACGATTAAGAAATTAAGTTGGGCAAAGACGGAAGAGGGGCAGAACCTATAGCGATTCTGTACTCTGCAAGGCCATATGCACGGAACTAAAAAACGAAACGGTAAAAATTGATGTTCATCAAGGAATAGGAGATGGGGAGGGTCCAATAGGCGATATTGGCCTCTTCGCGGCAGGAACCGTTCTATCAACAATTTTGTGAACTGCAAAAGTGTCCAGTAGAATCTGAACATACCGTATCCTGTAGGATGCGTAATTTTTTCCTCAGAAGTGCCTCTTCATATTGCAGCCCGTCCTTACCTTTCCAAAATCTATCTAACAATGTAGGATGCAAAATTTTTTTCTCAGAAGTGCCTTTCATATCAAGCCGTCTTACCTTGAAATCTTATGCTATAAATACCCTATAAAAGAGCTACTGATAGTAGGACTGTAAAAGACAAATTGTAACGACCACTCAAGCGCCAACAGCTGTGGTTACTTCGTACAGATTTGAAATCAACGAGAGAGGAGGGATTGCCGTTTCTAGGATTTCTGGCCACTTTGCTTGTTTGTTTCCTTTCCACAGACGCATCATTTCACACCTACACATTCACATTTCAACAGTATCAGTTAATCTCAAATTTTGTCTCTAAGAAAGAAGATCATATTCACTGGCAGCTTCCAGGAGCACTAAAAGGAGTAAAAAAATTTTTGAGGCTGTGAAGTTTTTAAGCTCAGCCATCTATTCAACTGTACATCTGGGTTATACCATTTATTACCTGCTCGAGAGCGCGGTAGGAGGAGGCATATGTGTTGTGTTGAAACAGCAAATTTCATATCTTTCGAACTTCCGTAGCCAGTTACCGCAGATATGTGTGCAACCATATTCGGCCCCCATTTCTGCCACCAAGCAAATACGACCTTCATGGGAATATCTTCGAAAATTCAACGCATTGTTTTCGTACTTAGAGAGCAATCTGTTCAATTGCACATCTACCCTGCTTCGGATGTTACGTAGGAAGGTGGACATAGCTGACGAAGAAGTAGCGAAAGTTCTGCGAAACGGCTGCTGAGTTCCGTCAGAAAGTCGCAAGCAGATCATAATAGGGTCTTTCAGCTGCCTAACCATTTGCGGATACTGTGGTGCTACTCATAACTGTGCTACTTCAGCAGGTGCTTTGTTCCCTAAGATCTTCTTTATGGAAGGTTACAATATTTGCAAGCTGTAATGTAAAGTAAGATAAATGTCCTGTAGCTCGTGGGGTGTATCCGCGCGAGACTCACTGAAAAGTCTTTTTCGACTGTCTCTAAACTCTGCGCCTTTGAAATACTTGGATACTTGGATGCTCGTTGTCGGTCGATGATCTTCATGCGAGATCTGCGGCGAGCACACGTTTCTCTCCATTTTCCCTGTCCGTGCGACTAAGCTGTCCTATCTCCCGGTGGGATTAGTTATGTAACACTGATGTAATGTGAGGGGTATGCAGTTTAAAATGGAAATCTAGCCAGAATGAGGCTCTCGTAGATAGGTGTCTTACGTGTTTCTGAGGAACCGGAGGTGATACGAGTAACGGGTTGATGTCGTCACGTAGATGAGAATCTAATCAGGTTTTTCCAGTGGGAAGTTAATGGCTTAGAAGTGTATAGGTGGAACTTTTCCAGATGTTTGACGGTGACTGCAAACCCGGTTTCACTCAATCGTACACCTTTTCCATCTGAGCAGGCTGTTTTCACATCTGGGCTGAAAAGTCGTTGTATAACTTAGCGTTGAAAAGGCCTGTCTCCTATACGAAATTCACCAGCCTCAACACAGATATCTTGGGACTGTTTCGTTTCCTCTACAAAAAAATCTTATTTCCTTGAAATTGTGGAATTTTGAAAAGGTTACGGTAGCTGCTTCGATCCATAATCGATTCGAGAGGGCACCAAACCTCATAGCCGAGAATATTCCCCTCTTGACCACAGAAATGGGCCCTTTGTCTGGGTTTGCTTGAAATTCCGCTCTATTGAATCTCTCAACGGTTTGGCTTGTTCAACCAAGGGACATTTTCCTCTTGTACCTCATTGAGTTTTTCATCCGGGTTCTTGTTGAAGAGCTGAGTTCCAGTTTCACTGTTTATCCACGAAATCGCCGCAACGTCCTGGGTAAAAAATCCCTTAGCACGACAAGGCACAACAATGTTCTCAACAGTCGCGCTGCTCTAGAAATGTCCCCATACAAACCAGTGTGAAGCTTGTTTGGATCTTCAAATAGACATTTTGCAAAAAAATATTGAAATGATGAAAAATAAAGAAGTTGGTGTGATTACCGTTAACCAAGCCGTTTGGAATACGCCATGTACTTTTTTCTAT